GGCACACTCATCCGTGCCGCGTGTTGTCGCTCTTGACCCGAAGGTCATCTTGCTTCCTCCGAAGGCGTCCGTGCTTTCGGCGTAGGGAGGTCCGCTGACCCCTCTGCCGTCCGCGCATTCCCATCCTCCTCCGAGGATGGGATCTCTTTCTCTCCGGCGGCCCGCGCTGTCTCCGCGCTACTTGCAGGCAATACAAGCCGTCGCGCTTTCTGCTTCGGCCGACTGCAAATTTCTTCCAGTGGCCGCTTCCGTTTGAGAGCCGTCGAATCTCGATGTGGCTCCTTCTCTGTTTTCCCCCTCCATCTCCGCTTCCGCTGCACTCGTGCTATGGATGTGTCTCTCCCCGCATCCTGTTGGGCTGGTGGCGTGGAGGTCAGAGTGTCCTCCGCGTCGGAGTCGACCTCGTTATCCCGCACATACCTCCCGGGATTGCTGAGTGACAGCAACGGATACTGAATACGCTCGGTCGCGGTTAAGCAACCCATCGACCGATAAAAGTTTATCAAGAAGGGGGAGAGATGATTGATCTATCCCCCCCTCTCCTCAAATGCATGCTGCCGCGTTATCCTATGCAAGATACGCGACCAGTGAACCGGAGCTCCGGCCAATGTGAGCTCCACGAAAGACACTTGCCAAGAAGTGATGTATGTTGTTCGGTGCGGCTGCAAGAGTTGCAGAATTGCCATCGCTACATTTCTGCGGTAGCGATCCTTGTAGTCACGGGTCCTGTACCCGTTCTTGTTGGACTTCTCACTCTTGAACAAGTCCGCGAAGGAGTCGTCTTCCGCCTTCGTCACCTTGACGCTCTCACTATCAAATAGGAGGAATCCGTCCTCGCCTGCACATCTCCCCAGCACTTGTCCCCAATCTTGGACAGTCCAACGCTCTACGTGCGGTCGGAATCCGCGCGTAGGTTGGTGTCTTTCCCTTTGCCATTCGCGCATCATGTCCTGGCACACGTAATTCCATCCCCATAGGAGGAAATCGAGCTTCACTGCAAACAGCCGGTCCTGGAAAGCGCGCAACCCAATCTGCGGAAGCTTGAGCGGAATCATCCGCAGCTGAGTGGGCTTCGACATCGCGTTCTTGAAATTTGATTTCGTGAACCTTCCTCCGCTACACTCAAGCTTCTTGCCCGCAACTTCGATCCTCCTGCAAACTCTAATCTCTCTCAATTCCGACTATTGCGCACTCAATTCTCTCTCTATCACCTTGCGAGTCTCTGCGCGTCGGTGTCTCGAATTTCTCTCGGCTAGAAGGTGGACGCGCGCAGCTCGCACAAGAAATTGAAATCGCAAATTCAAGAATGAAGTGTCCGTTCTCCGCTCGCAGGATGTCATGGTCGGCACTTGGTCGTGAATGTCGACTCACTTGATGGCTGCGCCGGCTTGGAGGTGTAACGGCCCTCCTCTCGCACGCGCGGCTTCACGCTCCGCCGTCGCGCGTGCTCACACGCTCAAAATTTCAATTTGAGCTCCGCCATCGTACTTCGCCGCGGCCATGGTCGCGCAGTTCTTGCCAACGCGCTACTCGCATCCATCCCGCACCGCCAAAGGCGTTCCGCCGAAGGCGGATTTTCCGGCGGACTTCCTGCCGGCTCCGAACTCCTTCCGCCGAAGGCGTTGACCCCCAGCGCCGAAGTTGTCCGTCGACGTAGCTCCCTCACGTTGTACGTCAGCGTAAGTGCATCGCCGTAGGCGCAGGGCCGAAGGCGGCTGTGCCGAAGGCGTTGACCGTGGTCAACGGATTTCGTCTCGTCTCGTCAATCTCTCTTTGTCCCTCCGCAGGCGCTCTCACCGCCGGAGTTCTGTCTCGCCGAGGGCGCACCTGTTCGTTCCGCCGGAGCCGTTAAGCCGAAGGCGGACCGTACAAAGTCGCTACCCCGTAGGTACTTACCTAATCTTGATGCGCTGGCGCCGTAGGCGCCGTACAAACTTCACCCCCGAAGGCGGACTTCTAGGGCTGAAGGCGGATATTCCGCCGATGGCGAAGTGCCTACGCGCAGGCGAATTCCTTCCGCCGAAGGCGGATTTCCCGCCGACGACGAACTCCTTCCGCCAAAGGCGTCCGTCTTCGCATCTTCTGACAGTCACAACTCCCTGAGTCCTCATCCGTTCCAGGCGTTCTTGGGCTCGTTAAAACGAGCGTGTCGAGCTCTTTCCAACGAGACCCTAACCAAGTCAAGGCGTTGTGAATTGTATAAGCTCTGAGGGATTTCCCTAGCGCCGAAGGCGGATTATGCGCCTTGCGCCGAAGGAGAATTCCTTCAGGATTGATCGTTCAGGTCGGGCGCCTGTTCCGGACATTGCGCCCAACTTCTGGATACTGCAAGATCATACGAGACCCGCGATTATCCATCTTCACTCTATTTAAATGTACCGATCATCATTTACATGGCTGCTGCGGTAGTGTTTTCTAAAATTGTTTTAAATTCCGCACAAAAACAAAAAATGGGTTACCACAATGTTGTGCATGAAGTTTATTTTCATGAAGATTTTTTTTATTGATATTTTTTTTATCCAATGTGATGTTAAATAGCAACCACGTAACTTTCATCATTAAAATTTTTAATGTACATTATAAAATACTTTTTGAATAAAAAATTTCTATTGAAAATTGAAATTTATATTTAACTTAGTATTTTTTGAACCAAAATAAAAATTAACATTTGAATTTAATTTGATTAGAAATCTGATCTATAAAAGAAGATCTCGCTGATCCATGTAATATTTTTACAACTTAATAATGAAAAAAAATCAGTGTGCAATAGCTTGGTCAATTATTCTTATACGGTATGAAAAAAATAAAATTTTAAGAACTTTAAAAGAATTTTTTAACAATTCATCTGGAATCTATTACTGAATATCTAAAAACTCTTTTTCTTTTCAATTCAATTGCTAAATTGATCAATTAAAAATTATTATTTTAAATTTTAATTCAACATATATATGAAACATGAATGAAATTGAAATTGTGTCTATATCCAGAATAATGTGTTGTGATGAATTAACACAAAATCCAAGAAATTTTTTTTGATAAAACATGAGAAGATGAAAAAATGATGAGGTTACATAGCATGATTTATATTTTTTATGAAATCTAATTGTTACGTTTAATTTTGAAATGTATATGATTTATTGAAGTGAGAACATGTAATAATTAGTTATTTAAATATTATGATGATAAATTTATACAATACTAACAACACTTTTGGATTGAATTTTCTTCCTTTGGATTGTGAATTGAAAAATATTAACTTTTATGTAAAACCATATAACAAACATATTTTATGTATTCTAGAAGATGAAATTCACTTGTGTAATAACATTGTTAAAGCTCACGAGTAATTGAACAAACTCTTTAAAATTTGATGTGTGTATACTTTTAAATATCAATTAATGAATTTAAAACACAATTAACTATTTATTATAAGATTATTTATACTTTTTAATGGATTTTGCATGAAATCTCATCATTGATTATAGATGTTAGTCTGAAGACCTGGATAGAGCGATGGTCTCGCCCGTCACGCTCTTGATCCAATGTTAACAATGTCGAGGTGATGGTGCACAATGGTCTCCACCACCAACGCGTCCTGTACAGACGAAGCAGAGCGAGATGTTTCGTGACTTGTATCGTCAAGGATCCCGGAAAGAACAGAACAGGCTCGTGTCTCTCGTTCGGGATGTATACTGTGATCTCGTGCAGGGACCTTCGGAGATAGTTTCACCTCGTCGTCCTGATTTTCAGTTTTTCTGCAGCTGATTACTGTTTGAAGTGGAGAGGACCAGATTCTGTTGAAAGCTGGGGGATGATATTCTGATATCACTCTGAACAAAATGTTGCTACAAATGCTGTCAGATTCTGAGCTTTGTGTGGATTTTCCACTGCATCTGCCATTAACTGGCACTTCTCAGACATGCTACTACTTTCTGGAATGTGCTTCTGGTTTCTCAGTCCGGATTGAAAGCGTTCCTCTGGACAATAAGTGACATCAGAGCCGGAGCAGACAAATTGACTGCATGTTCATTCATCTGAAGAGGGCGGACAACGAGGAACACAAACAAACAGAAGAAGGATGTTTGTAGCCTTCTCTTCTGTCAAATCCATTGGCAATAACAGTATATGACAAAATCCTGAAGTGTGTCGGCACGAGTTAGTGACGCCGATCCACTCGCGGGCGTGTGTCCGACGTACTGTCCTTGAAGAACATGCTCAGGCCTCCGTGTTTTCAGTCCGTGCCTCAGTTGGATCTCCAGTGCCACACTGTACGGCAAGCACTCTGCCCTATGAATGAGGCTGAAGTTGTGTTTCTGACTCCATGTTACAGTCACCATCCGACTCCTCAAGGATTACCCACCTTGTGCAGGCAATCGGTCTGAGTTGTCACCTCAACCTCGTTCTCACAGTTCATCGCAGCTCCATCGATTTATCTAACCATGAGCTTCACAAAACGAACACAAATGTCCAAGAAATGGATTGAACTGCTCTACAGCTAATTCCATGCCTCTTCTTAAGGCATGATTTTTAGACTAGACCAACTTCAAGTTCCAGTTCCAAACTTCATCATAACAAGCATCTCATATCACACTCCGTAGTCATCACTTTGAATCGGAAATGGCGAAGAAGAGATTTCAGTGGGCAGCTGACTAAGCGTATGAACTCCTCCCAGCGATGGGGAGAAGAAGTCAACTCTTGACAAGTTGTTTGTTGCTGTTGAATTCACTGTTAAATCGATGACATTGTACGGAAATCTAGAATGCTACAGAGCATACTTCTTGGAAAGCTCCGTACTATACAAAACGTACCTTCCTTACTCGAAGGTACAAAGTCAATAGTAGCACGGAGATGGTGGCCTGAACAGAGCCTCGAGCACGCACATGGAGAGGATGATGGGGGATGAAATTCACGAGATACTGAGGCTGTATAAATACTTCGGAGATTTGCTCTACTACTCAGCTGAAGATCAGACATGCAGCTGAGGGCCGAGCCTTAGTACATAATATATAATGCACGAGGACTGCTAGAGCAATTCAGCAATAGCGAGTGCATAACTAGCAGTGGCTGGTACTGAGGTTCGACGCAATGGCCGTCATGTCGGAGTACCTGTGGTTTGTAATTGTTGGTGCTTTCGTAGCATTCGCCTTCGGGTGGGGTAATGGTAAGTCTCTTCACCATGGAATACAGCCAAACGATGTCAAACTGCTGCTTGCTTGCAAATCTCCATCATAATGACGATGACTCAGTAACTCAGTATGCTGCTGATTGGTATGCAAGCTCTCAGAACTCACGAGATGTCGAAACCTTGTAATTTAGGTGCTAATGATCTAGCCAATGGATTCGCCACTTCAGTGGGGAGCAAAACCCTTACCATGGGGCAGGCAGTGCTTGTAAGTACTTTGTGCTGTACAATTCTGTAATTTTATTACTTTTAACTGCAGATTGCTGAAGCTATATTAGGGGCCACCAGTAGTGTTCCTTTTGATACAACTGACATAAATATGAATGTTCTGTATGTTTTTGCACTGAGATGGTTCTGATTCAAGTATTAATGTGTACCGGTATATCTGCAGATCGCTGTAGTATTTGACTTTCTGGGAGCGATTCTGCTGGGAAGAGTTGTGACATCCACAATCGCCAGCGGAGTAGCTGATCTAAACAGCTTCTTAGGAAATCCAGAGGTCTATGCATACGGAATGATCTGTGCTTGCACTGCTGGTTCATTTTGGCTGGCAGTGGCATCAAGGGTGGGTATCAATGTCTCTGGTACTCACTTTATCGGTAAGTTCCTGACAGATGGTCCTCAAACTGACAGTGTGCTCCTTGATCAGATCTTGATATAGTATACTTACTATTTACAATTCTTGCACTGCTTCTTAAGATTGCATATAATTGAAGCTAACACGTACTTATTGAAATCCCAAATATCTTAAAAGCTGAAAGCTTTGTTTCATCAGGTCAGAATTTTAACGAGAAGTTTTTGTCTTCTGAATTGCAGTTGGAGGTATTGTCGCCTTTTCTTTGATCTGGGATGGCAAGGATGCCATCATCTGGGCAGAGAGAGATAACTCTATCGACGCTTTCCCATACAAGGGGGTGATCTCGATTGTCACATCTTGGATCCTGTCACCAATCCTGGCAGCTGCAGGTTCAGGACTACTTTTCTTGGCTCTTCGAACTATGGTGTTGCGACGCAAAAATGCTCATCGAGTTGCGTTCTGGACTTTACCACCGGTCGTCTTCTTCACAGTATTCGTCAACATGTACTTCATCTTCACGAAGGTCAGAGTTGCTGATCTTCCAGTGATCATCGCTCTAGCAAGAATACAAAGCTGCCATCTAGTGCCTTAGAACCTTGTTGACTATCCACTAGTTTACTCGCTTAGCAGTTGGATTGAATTTAGACCTCGAGCTTCGGTTTGTTCCAACTAAATTCCCCCAACATCACTGTGAAATTCAAAGGACTTTGATAATATATGCGCAGGGAGCCAAGAAGCAAATGGACAAGGACGGCATTCACTGGTCATACTCAAAGACTGCTTGGATTTCCGCTGTCATCGGAGCGGGTGCAGCTGTCATCTCTGCTGTCACAGTGGTTCCCTTCTTATACAAAAAGATGAACGCTTTGTTCGACAGGTGATGCATCAAGCTAAACACAATTCTATCTTAATGTCCTGTATCAACAGAGGTTTTAGAATACATCATCATTAAGGCTTCGAGGACTTGCCTTCTTCCTAGTTTCTACCTATGCCTACTGAAGCCTACAGAGCTCTGATACAATTGGTTTTTGACTGATAGTGACGGCAATCGCATCAACATGATCGAAGGGGTTCCTGGAGTTTCAGCAGGTGACGAGAAACCCAGCAAAACAGTAGAATCTGACGAAAAAGCTCCTCGAAGCATCGGATCCAAGATCTGGGGAGTCATTTCCCACGGATGGACGCAGGATATTCACGACGTCGTTAACACAAACCAAACGGTGGGCGATATTCACAGGCATGCTGAGGTTTTCGAGCCAAGAGTGGAATATGCCTTCATGTACCTTCAGGTGAGTTCATGTAAAGTGTCGTGTGTGCTCATGCGTAAAATCCACATTCCATGGCTTTCTTCGATTCGCTTTGCTCTCCTCTGATCTGAACTCGCTGATCCTCAGGTGTTCTCGGCTATTTGCGTCATCTTCTCACATGGAGCCGGAGAGGTCGGCTACGCAGCTGGACCCATGTCCATCATTCTACAGGTCTACGAAGATGGGATGCTGACCAAGAATGTTCAGCCCAAGATGTGGGTGGTGGTATTTGGAGGACTCGCTCTGATATCCGGTTTGGCTACCTATGGATACCACACAATGCGTACCATGGGAGTCAAGCTTGTCAAGATCACCCCTACTCGTGGATTCTGCGCAGAGCTCGCCACGGCTATGGTCGTCATGGTTGCTTCGCAGTAAGCAGTCCACTCAGTTTTCGAAGATGACCATTACCATTCCCTTATGTAGCGATAGCTGTGACTTAAAAACTCGAGAAATCTCGGCAAATTTCTCGAATGCATGGTCTTGTTAAAGATTTGATGTCAGTTGAGCCTGATCGAAAGCAGTCTAACGAAAGTCATTCTTATGAGAGTAGCACTCACATACATTCCTGGTGTTGGAAAACTGACGACGAAATTCGTGAACAGGTACGGTCTTCCTCAATCGGGCAGTCTGGTGATCGTCGGTGCTATCGTGGGAGTGGGAGTGGTCGAAGGGTCACAGGGTGTCAACTGGAAGCAGTTTGGTCTGCAGGTTGTAGGATGGGCTTTCAGCACGCTCGTGGTGGGACTGACAGTAGCTGCACTGTTCGCGCAGGTGACTAGCTCTCTTTAAATGCGTGGTGACAATAATCTGTGGACGATTAATTGATTTGATCTTCAGCTCAAAATGCTCAAAAGCTTTCGTTTGCTTGTGGATTTATATCAAGCTGGGGCGGAAGTAAATGTCAATGACGGATGGAACATTTGATTCTACAGGGCCTGTATGCACCTTCTGCCATAGATTCCAAGGCAATCAACGAGTACAAGGTTGAAATTGCCGGCATTAATACCGCTTGGTACAAAGAATTCAACACCACTCTTCAGAGCTACCGGGAAGCCAGCGCTGCAGGTGCCCTGGATCGCTTACCAAATGCCACTTGGACCGAGCTCAACGCCACTCTTCACAAACATGCCAAAGCTGCCAAGGATCTCGGTGACTTCAAGAAGTATGCTGCAAGTAAGTTCAATAGTACAGTCCAAGCTGGTGTGGGATGGTTTTGAAGGCTGAGCTTGAGAATGTTTTTTGGTTTTGAAGATCTGCAGACCAGCTCTTCAGATTGACTCTGACATTTGGATGTTCTTCGTGCTGGACGTGCAGAGAAACCATCGGCATACATCAATTCGCTGAATACACTCTTCGCCCTGTACCAAGAGAACAGCATCTTGACGATTGGTCAGAACGACGTATTTAATGGTTCACTGACCTGCAACAACAATATCATAGCAGACATCAGAAATGGGACTCGCACGGCGTGCGTCGCTCCCAAGCTTGCAGATCCAGGGACGGCTTTCAAATGACACCATAGATGCTTACTATCTTGACATCGAGACGGCTTAGAAATCAAATTTGTACAGGAGGATCGAACAGATTGATGCTAATGTATTTGGCATCGGTGTTTAGTGTAGCCCGTAGGTTTAGAAATCAACTCAGTGATTTTTGGCGTTGTCTGAGCTGACAGCACGAGCCCAGGCTCCAAGCACTGAAATGGTCCGATTTACAGGTTAGGACCGCAAGGCCAGATCTGGAGTTGTTAGCAAAAGCTTACACGGAGTGATCGAGCTTTACACAAAGACGAACCATGATCGACGACTTCCTTCCGTACTTTTTATTGTTTGTGCACATAGATACTTTCTGAAGAGATCGAACATTGTTGATAAGCGGAGCTGTTGTAAATCTACAGAAAAATACGGATGAAGAGAACTGACTAATAAAGTAAAACTGTTTTGACTATTGATACTTTTATCATGAAGCTAGTTCAGAAATTATAGTTTCACATTATTTTATGCTCTCAATTTTTGTCTCCCAATGGTTAAAGAGAAATAATAAGTGTATAATATTTATGCTAACCCATTTTGATCCTCATTCAATAGGAGATGCGCTGCGTATAGTCAATGAGGATCCTTCACAAGTTTGTAGAGTCAAAATATTTGTTTCATTCTTAACTTCAATTCTCCAGTCGCAAAGCCCAGTTCCTGACATTTTGTGCTCCTCCTAATCCTCCAGTAGATCTGCAGGGTACGACCTGAATTTCGTCCTCGACACGACCTGATCCGTATGTATTTCTTTCACGCTATGCTCTGATAATCTCCACATACTGACTCAATCCAGGAGACACTTCAGCAGATGTGCAAAACTGGTACAGGTTGGCAATCCTATGCTTCCAACACATATTCAAGTCCGGATCTCTGGCCTGTTCGATCTGACCAGATCATCGAGTCTAATTCCTTCTGTGTTGTCGTCAAACAAGACAGCGTCGAAGTTGTGACAGTAGAGAAATGAGTCCCTTCTCTGCTTGGCTTCCACTTGTAGATAACGCATCGTGGTTCAGAAATCGCCACCTTGCAGTTGTAATGGTCTCGTAAAAGGCAAACAGGAATGATTCCAATTTGAAGCCGAAGAGTGTTCGAGGAGAGGCGGAGTTGCTACGAGAGATCCTGGGGATTTGGTTCTTGCAAAGTAGAAAGCATTCACGTGATGCATGCATGTACTGTCCTACGTCGGACATACGAAATGAAGATTACACAGCAAATTACTGGATTTGATTTTGTGCACTTTTCATGAATACTTCTCTCACTCTGGGTGAAATGTGCATAGCTCTCGTGGTTCTAACTGCATGCAACTGGCTGGCTAGTCATGGTGACGAACGAAGGTCCTAATCTAACATCGAGTCCAAATGTCACTCAATACCCCGCTAACGTACGATGCTGTTGACATTCAATCTTTTGTAGAATTAATTTGATCATGAAATGAACAGAGGAAGGTATCTTACCCTATCCATTTCAGTTCAACACTCCTCCATATTTTTCTATGTCTACCTGGCAAGGATGTGGACTTTGCACTTTAAATGCTGAAACAAAATACACCATCCTTTTGTTATACGATTTTGTCTTATGCATGTATGTATCCAGTTTAAGGATTATTAATACCTGAACCATGTCCACATCAGAAGGCTTCAAACTAATTCTTCCACGTGATCTCCGTAAAGTCAGTTGAAACCACTCTCTCTGTATCACGAAGTAGAGATGGAGAATGAAAGTCTTTCAAGTTCTTAACAAATAATGGATTAATGTGTCAGACCTTCAACTGAACAAAAGTAGCCGAAATGATTTTAAAGGGCTGGATAAGTTACCCATAACCCTCAGCAGTGAATTCCGTATAATCACTTAATTTCATAACTTCAATAGTCACCCCAGAATTTTTTGTGAGTTCTATATGATTTCATCACCGTTCGTTCATTATCGACATTTGAAGCAATAATTTACCTCAAATTATGCGCCGTGCTAAAGGTGGAGCTCATATCTTTTATGTATATGCCCATAATAATAATAATGCCTGTTCGAAAGCTTGACGGGACGTGGAAGTCGGTTTTATCGGGAAACGCTCGATTCTCGTCCATTACATATATTATCGCCCTGATGTGTATTTAACTGCTATCCCTGATAATACGGAACAGTCAGGAACATTCAGCAACGTGTGACTGGGCATAGCTCTGTCCTGGCTGGCCACGTGGCATAGGCTGCCCAGTCGGAGCTCTCGTAGATTCTCAGCTCGGTGTCAGGTGACTGACAGACAACCTCAGCGACAGAGTCTGCGTCGGACGTGACAGTGGTTGGTGCCACAGCATGCAAAACAAGGCGTCGGGTGCCACGCGGGCAGCTGAGCTGAGCAGGGCAGGGCAGCATGAGGCATGGAGCAGTCGCTGCAATGCTCTCGTTCTCTGACGCACTCCCGACGATTCTTTCGATTCGATTGATTGATTGATTCTTCGATTTGTTGATTGCAGAAGAGGACGAAGTGGATGAATAGGTGAGCTGTAGTTGCATTTGCCCGATGATGCCTAGTCTTTGCGATTTTGGAACAAATCGTCGGCCGTAGACTCTCATTGATGTCTTTATCATTGACAGATTCGTTTAGACTCTGTGGCATTTGAACTAGCGAGTCAACCCGAACTGGTTTCTGTTCTCTCTGTACTTATCGTGTATTTGCATCTAAAATCCCACCTCGATTTGGTGCACGTGTGGAAATAGAGTTCGCCGCCATGCTTTTGTTCGCTGTAGAGTAGCAAGAAATTTTTTGGTTCTAGTCTCTCGATTGTTCGTTCAGGAATTTATATGGGTTAGGGTAACCCGCGGAGATTTTCCTTCCTCAGTCTAGAGCTCTTGTGGAATGGCGATTTCCTTTAAGTTTATCATTTGAGTGCGTTAACTCTCAGCAAATTGTGGATTCTTGCTCACCGGAAGTTTTTTTGCGATTTGCAGTTGTGGAAGAATTCTGTGGCACTAACATTCTTGAGAGAGTAACATCGGAAGGTCGTCAAAGTGAAGGCGTCAGTGAGAGCCATGGCTGCCTCGTCTGTAACCATGGCATGTCTAACTTCAGTTAGTGTCGTCAAGGTACCAGACTCTCAGTATCCAAGCACTAAAAGACACTGTCCTACAGCTCCAGTTCTTCCGAGCATCCAGCCTCGAAGGACGCCGTATCGTTCAGGATTCTTTGCTGATTTTCCGAATGCACAAGTCCACTCGCGATGCGCTTTTGCTCAAGCCTCGTCGTCGAGAAAGATCCCAACATTGCCTACCATGGCGTCGCTGCGAGTGGAAGACGAAGTAGTGGAGCCAGTGACGAACATCAAATTTCCCAAGAGCACGATCGCCCCTGGAGCCTCCACAGACCTTGTGCTTGCGGGAGCTGGTGTACGAGAAAAGAAGATTGCCTTTCTTAAAGTAAAAGTTTACGCCGTTGGCTTCTATGTCGATCCCAAAGGGATTTCTTCTCTAGACGCATGGAAATCGAAGGGGACAAGTGAGCTTGAGAAGGACGAGAGTTTCTCCAAGGTGCTGATTGATATCCCTGTTGAAAAATCTCTGAGAATTGTGTTGGCAAGAGACATTGAAGGAGCCCAATTCTGGGGAGCTTTGGATGAAGCCCTAGCACCAAGATTGAAAGCAGCAGGAGCAGGAGCTGCAGGAGAACAAGCTCTTAACTCTTTTGGTGATGTGTTCAAAAACAGGCCTCTGAAGGAGAAAACTGTAATTTCTCTCACCTGGACGCAACCATCCACGCTGCACATATCTATCACACCAGAAGGACGATCACCTTCGGCTCCCGATGCTTCTATTGACTCTCTAGATCTTGTTTCCAGCTTGTATGATGTTTATCTTGGGAAGGATCCGGTTTCTCCCTCCGCAAAGGCTTCAGTAGTAAGAGGGATTTTCTCTGTTGCTTAATGTGTGAATAAACTTCAAGATAGTCCGATCTGGTTGATGGGCGTATTCCCTGCCTAACGTATGTAAATTAACATCCATCGAGAACTTATGTCAAAAGTTTATTCCTGCAACTCCTCTGCACATTGTCTATATGCAAATTCGCCTTCAAGGTCTCTCTTGCTTTTGAGTTCACCTGTTCTGAGACAGTACCGGTTCCATTCGAAGTTGTTCCATTGCTTGTCTAGGTGTCGTTATACACTGACACGTTTTTGCATTTGGCAATGGTAAAATTGGTCTGCTCGAGCTCAGTGGAGTCCTTATGGACGTAGTCTTCTTCACCCGTGAAAAGCAGTTCCCGGCTGTTGTTGTCGTCTGTCATATTAGAAGCTTGATCGCCGCTTTTGATCACATGTTTGAAGATTTGTTTGTCGAGATTAATCATGCTGATTTGATCACTAGCTGCGCCTCTGCTGCAGGCAGCATTCTCGATGTTGTTGAGTGTTAAGTTTGTCGACAAATGGATTGAATGGTGTATGCGATCTCAATGTTTCGAGTTTGCGCCTGGGAGCAGAGATTGCGTTGCTTGTGAACATTGGGCTTGATTATGGTCCGAACAGATCCCCTGCAAGTGGGAAAATCTCATAAGCTCTGTTTGTGTTCCAAATTAAGTCTCGCGCAAATGAGTCTTAGGATCCAGGCCTCAGTGCATAGGAATCGAACTACAAAGAGTGAAAAAGTGCTATGCGATCGGCTCTTTGAGGTCGTCAACATCCAACAGTCAGCAATCTTTGGGAGACCCTCAATCAGCTTTTCTCACTGATGAAATGTGGAAGGCGAAGTCGCCAATACCAATTTGTCCTGTTTGAAGAGCATGTTATGAAAACAACCAGTAATTCAAATGATATTTTCTCGTTCTCGTTAGCTTGCATACGAGGGAAGGCTTTAAAGTGTTGTTGATAATCCAGTCCAGAGTCAAAATATATAAGAAAAAAGAGGTGAAAATTAATGAGAATTGTAATCTATATATATGTGACGCCTATTCAAAAAAAAAAAATTTACTCTAGACGAAGTATTTTGGCTTCCCCGTTCCTTCCGGTGCAAGAAACACCGTCACAGTTAATACTTCCATGAACCGTGCTAAAAATGACTGACCAGGTCACTTACAATCTCTTTTTTATAGGCCGACTCCACCACACGCGTCTGTGGAATGTTAAAACATATACATATATATATATATATATGAGAAATATGTAGCACATCACGTACACCATGAAAACGCTTCCACCTGCAATATTCCTACAAAGCTATTCAAAAATCTGTTCTTTCATCGTTAAATATCTCACTCAAAAGACGGCGAGACAAGACGCAGCTTTTCTACACTCGGACTAAAATTTTGGTATTGTCTGTGGGTTCGAAACCCTTATACAGTACTTTTTTCTGACTATTTTGGATCTCAGCATATGACTTGAAATAAAAGTAAACATAATCCTCAATCAGCTGGTGCAACACCTGAGACATTGTCATCGAAGGTACATGTTCAACATATGGACATACTGGGTTAGGACAGAGGCCAAGAAATCGCCAGTGATGCTTGTATCATAGACTTCTAATAAGGAAACTTCAGTGATACCCCCAAACTGTAGGCTCACCTGTTTTGTGCTCGAAATCTTCATACAACTTACCTACTGAGTTTCTGTACATCCTCTTCCCACTTCAGGTTGAAGTCTCCCTGAGAATAGAAGACCGTCACATCTGCACTCATTATCGTGCTAAAGAAGCACCAGTCTTGTTACTACGACGCTTCCAGTAAAGATCTTAAATCCACATCTCTACCAGTTGAGACTGTTTCCATATTCATTTGTCCTGCATTGCATGTAATTGTCGATGGAACAACATGACTTTATTGCTCCTGCACCTGCAGTTTTGCAGTGGACGAACAAGAAGGAAAGTACTGTAAAGAGTACTTGTCACTGAAAGCGTGTTTCATGCTGGAACTGTTTGCTGAACATTAGACTGAAAAGGACTTGTTGAAGAAGATGCATCGCTGTGGAAAAATGGAAGTCCAGATTGAACTCAACACTGAGAGTTTACTTACCGCAAAGAAGATAAATGCATGCTGAATCAAATGGCTAGCGAGCAGCAACAAGTAGGCATATAAAGCAAGGAATCCACTTATAGATATATAGGTGAACAGAATTCAGACAATGAGCTTAGAACTCGGTGCAAGTACCACCCATCTCAATGACTCAGCATTCTAGAAAAGTACTTCTTTCTCTCCTAAATCTTTGATTTATATGGGTGTCAATAACTAGAGCCTAATCTCTCGGTGCACATCAAAATGAAACCTACAGCTAGAGGCCTGTACAACTGTCAGACCTGTCCTGAAATTACGGCCAGCGGTTATTGCAATTCAGTTACACCTTGGCTAATGGTTTCATTCAGCATTTTTATATTAAAGATTAGATAATAGAAAATCATTCATATTGTCTCCTAAATCCCAATGAAACTGACTCATCGAATTTTTTTTTATCTCAATTGATGCTCGTTAGTGTTCTGAAGAATAGACTATGAAGAGAGTGTTCATAGTGGAAGCATCTGAATCTTTGTTGTAGACCATCTTGACTTGTCATGCTTACAAAATGCTTCCTTATACGCCTACCATAAGGTTTTGAAGTTGTTCACATTGAACATCTTTTATCAAAAAAAAATTTTAATTGCTCAAGATTTTACATCTTTTTCCAGATAAACGAAGAATCCATGATACACCTTGTCTTTTAAACAATGATCCAACCAGTCTAACATATGAGTAGTCTGTTCAATAAAATTCAAAATTTTAATGTTGCTATGAACCTGATATGATTGTAAAAAATCCTTAAGATCTAAAATGTCTATGATTGAATTTTTTTAATGTATATTCAAGCCTTTTTTATTCAAACCCAACAAAAATTTTTGAAATGAAGTCAAACTTGGATTTCTGATGCTGAAACCTAATCAATAATGTCTTAACTCCAGTGGTTTTATGAGAAAAGAATAATACAAGACAACATTGAATCACAGAAGTCTTATTTGCAACCTCTACAATGACTACAAATCTTTCAAAAAAAGGTCTAAGTTATACTCTAACATGAAAAAAATAGCTCTAATATTTGAGATGAATGTAGTTTATGACATATTTTTTGAAATGCAAAAATACAAAACAGATAGTTTGAAGCTATAAAAAGAATTTCAAAGTAAAAACTAACAAACACTTGAAAAAATAAAATACTTATATAGAAAAGCCAAAAAATGTGAACGATAACGTTGTCAAGATAAAAGATTGATGAGCTTCACAATGAAATTAAATGAGATTAAAAATAAATTCAATTTTCTTGTTGTTGATTTTTTTTGTGCTTAATTTGACATGGATGTGAAAGTCTATTACAAGTAAATCAAATAGACACATGCGCAAGTAGACGAGATACATATAACATGGATCATACTTCAGAGTGCTACATCCACGACTGAAACACGCGGAAGAGTTTATTGATAACTGAATGCAACGCCTTCATAATAGAAGCCTTGGGATATATATATTCCCAACACCGGCAACGAACCTAGCTATAGTCTGAGGTTATTCCTTAACCGAAGATAACATCAACAATCTCCCGCCTAACTTGTGCTAAAGAATCAATGACCTTTGTAACCTATATTATTATTCAACAGAAATATCTAGACTGAAATCTAAAACAAAGTCTCTAATTACACGAGAGTTTACTAATATTCAATCGTAGCCGTAACATGATAGAGTATTAACATAAAGAGTTAACAAAAAAACTTGCTAGCATAGAGGGATCAGAAATTTCCTAATCTATATAATTGTTCCTCGGAAAATTCTAGAAAGAAACCTAATACAAAGCTACTCTTTACACAAAAGTTAAGTAAAATTAAGTTGTAGCCATCACACGCTAGAGTAAATATATAAAGAAATCACTGAAGTTATTATGCTAGCAAACTCTACCTGTTCTCCCCATGCACAACCTGCATGATAGCACAGTGTTGCCTGAAACTCTCCAAAGAAATAACTTTGGTCAAAGCATCAACTGGATTGACTTTATTGTTAATTTTGACTAGCCCAATTGCTTCATCAAACACTGCTTGTTTGATAAAGTGGTACAAGATGTTGATGTGTTTCACTCTGCTACCCATGATCTGGTTTGTAGTCAAATATAAAGCACTTTAACTATCACAATGAAAATTGATCACGCATTGTGTCAATCCCATCTTCATGATAAGTGTACCTAACCAAATAGCTTCCTTCGTCGTTTCGGCTCCTATCATATACTCAACTTCCATTGTTGACTAAGCTACGCACTTCTGCAAGGTAGATCTTCAACTAATGTTTTCACCGCCAAGTGTAAACACATAGCTAGTTATAGATCTCCTTTGTCTAAATCACGTTCGTAGTCAATATCAACATAGTCAAACAAGGATTTGGCATTGTATAATAAATCATCAAATAGTAAGTCATAATGGACAATACTTTTCATATATCTCATAATCCATTTCATTGGTTCCCATTGAACTTTTCTTGAATTCGACATGTACCTGTTCATCTTGTCTATTGCAAAAGCAATATCCGGTCTGGTGCAAACCATCAAATACATGAGGTTGTCTACGGCTTGTTTATAGAGAACACATGACATTTTTCCTTAATCCACAACATCGGTAGGACATTGAGCTACGGAGAGTTTGAAATGTGGTGCCAAAAGAGTCAATATTTCTTTAAATTGGATCATGTTGATCTCTTAAGTATATGACGAACATACTTGTCATGATTCAATCATAGACTCTTCTATTCAAAATCCCTCTAAATATCCATGTTTAATTATCTCTTTAAATCCTCCATATCTTTCATCTTAATTCCAGACTTCAACTGACTTTTGCATTCATCAACATTAGATTGATTATTTGAGAAGATGAGCAAGTCATCAACGTAGAGTATTAGAATGATGTGATTGAACGTCTCATCATTCAATTTTTTTTTCATGTAGACACAAAGATCATACACACTCCGTAAAAAATGAACTCATCAAATCGTGTGTTTCATTGTCTATGAGCTTGCTTCAGTCCAGACATTGATTTCAGCAATCTACAAACCATACTCTCTTGGCCTTTGACCTCAAAGCCAAATGGTTGTATCATGTAGATCTACTTCTCTATAATATCCATAGTAAAAAATTGTAATCACATCAATCTGATACATAATAAGATTGAATATTGCGGTGAGTGCATATACTAAACAAGTTGTAGCATACTTTGCTACAAGTGAAAAAACTTCATTGTATCCCATATACTACTCCTATGTGAAACCTCTAGCCATTAATTTAGTTTCAAAAATTCTTGCATTGTTTCTTGCTGGATAGTACACACACTTGGAGTCAATACGTGCATAATCTTTAGAATACTCAACTAGCTCGCAAGTTTGGTGTAACCATCTTTAATTAGTTCTAACTAAAGTAGAGGTTATTCTAAATGTTGATATAGATACTTTAGTGTGTATTAAACATATATGTCACGTCACCGCTCCGCGCGCTTGATAGGTAGAGAGCAAGTGTGTTAGTTAACAGTGTCACGTTAGCGATCCATGTGCTTGTTAGGTAAGGATTGAGTGTGTTAGTTGGAAGCCCCACGTCAGCAATCCGTGTGCTTATTAGGATTATCCGCCAAGTCATCTATAAACTAGAAGTGGGATGGAGTGTGAGTATAAGATTTTATCTCCTTGTACTTGTTAATGAGAGTTATACAAGGGAGTAAGAACCATTGTTGGGTACTCTCATCTTAAGAGTTTATGTTTACATCTTCAAGTGAACTTTTATCTAAACCCTAGTGTTACATCAACGAGAGAGTGGATTGTTCTACTCGAGCAGTGAAGCGAATAACTTCTATTGTGCACTGTCATTCACAATCACAAAAATATATTGAACTCGCAACGACTTCGAACGATTAAGCTCAATATCCCGGACGAGAGAGTGAACTATCTGTAGTTGATAAAAAAAAACTTGAAGTGCTGAAGTCAAGTGCTGGCAGTGGTAGTAGACTTCTAGCTAACAAACATAAATTCTTTGTTGTAGTCATGTCCAAAATGAAACCGCGATCTCAACCCATTCACGCGTGACGGTTGTGTGTAGGTCATTCACCATTTATCATCTTCGAAAAAACCTGTCACCATTTTCGAAAAAACCTTTCACATCTTTGAAAACATGTTAGTGATTCACACCTGATTAATCTGAAAGTTGAGTAAGGTTAAAGCAAAAACTTGAAGAAACTAAGACACAAGCAGAATTTTGCTTCCAATTTGTCGTTCAGAAAACTGTCAAAAGAGTTAAAAAAACTCAAGTCTCACCCGATCGAAGATGTTGTGGATATTCGTATGTACACTGCACTTACTTGTATTCTTATGTATTTTCGTATGAATCACACGCTTCGTAGACGGTGTGTTAAATGGAAAGTGTGAAGATCTGACTCTTGTTCCATGTTAGGCAAGTAGTGACCGGGTAATATAGCAAAAAGGATGGATATACCCCATCATTCGCCATGAATCATTAGGCTGAATAGACTTCTTAGATTGTTGAAGATATGTAGAAGTTTTGAAAAAAGAACTATGTTTATAACTATTTGAAGTTGTGTGGATAGAAGACTATTTCCTGTTAGTTTACTATCATTGGGAGATCCCAACCACTTGCAAAATTGAACATATTTTCGATCCTCAAGTCTTCCCGACATGAATATGTAGACTCTATGGAAGAGTTACAAATAATAATTGGTGAATCCATGCTTGCTGTTCTCGTATATGTCACAACTTATGTCGAAGTATCTTGAGTACAAAGATGCGTATGTACTAGAGTGGACATGTTAAATTACAGTTATTCATGCAATTAGTTATATTGTTATATTAGACAAATTTTTCTAAAATTCAACAGATATTACCAAAAAATAATTTCATTTATGATCATGATGACATCATTAATCTATGTAGTACTCAAATTTTATTTTTGATTAATTTTGGAATTACATAGACAAATTTAAAAAAAATTAAGGAGACTTGGTCTAGCCTGAGAATAAAAAATATTACCCATCTAGACGGGTAACAAAAAATATTATCCGGCTAGCCTTTAGCCGAGGAGGGTGAATGCCTACGTTGTGAACCACGAGGAACCATAACGAAAGTGGGGAGACGTAGACATGTCTCGCATGAAGGCTATAGGACAGCAGTGACTGAACGAGGGGGGAAGGAGAAGGAGATCCAGAAGTGAATGTCCGCAGAGGAGGACTCTGCCGAGTTGCTGGGCCAGTTATAATAATGTTCAGCAGTGCCCACGTTCAGATCGAAGTGATCGAATTCAGCTACGACTCCTCATTGTGATTTTGATTTCGGCACCGCGGTTTCGAGTCCTCAAGATAATCGACAACTGAAAGAACGATTAGAAAAGTGGAATTTGACGCGGACTTGGTTGCTGCGGATCGCGTTTGCAGGTCGGTGTTCGTCTGCAGGCGAGTCCTGCAGCGAAGTCGACGGGAGAGCGGTGGAGCAGCTTGGCCCGCCGTTGTTCTCAGGTTCAGTGGAGCCGTGTGAAGAATAATCTCGTCGGAGGCTTTGGGCGGGACAGGGAGGTAGGTGTAGATGGGTAAGACGTGATTGGTTCGAGTTTATTGTTGGTACACCAGCTCCGTTAGCCTGTCAGCCTGCCGAGAGCTGGTTATCATCATCTTCACGTTTTCGGATGATAGAACTTGTAGAGGATGTGGTTTCTCTGAAATGCACATTTCACACGGAACATTTCGCTGACTTCGAAAAGTGAGAATATCTTCCTTGATCCAATGTTTGTTGTGAGAGAGCAATATTCAGGCTACAATGTCCATGAGTGGCAGATGCATCTAGTCAGTAAGTTACGTAGTGTCTGTTCGTTGTGCCTTCTGACAACTTCGAACACAGGAGAATTGCTCTGAATAGCTTCAGAAAAGTCGATTTAATTGAAGATATGAAAACTATCACCTAACAATGAGCGGCGGTACCGTTTGTATTTGCTGATTAAACTAGCAACGAGTTGAGTATCTTTGCTGAGAACAACACATCATAGAATTCAGCATGTATACCCAACTCGTGTAAGGAGTTGAAAATTGCAGGGTTTAGTTTAGGGTGTTGAAGGTGTCTTGCAAGGTGTTGAAGCTTAACTTAACTAATTGTGAAGATCGAATTGGTCTGACGCAAAGCCATGGCCAAAAAGAGGCCGAGGAGCCAAGCCAGGACTGCCAGAGCTGCCGTCACAGACAAGCTTTCAGCTGTCCAATAGCTTACCCTGAAATAGCAAGCTCTGAAATAGTTGCTCCTTCAGACGTCAGCTGCCACTGTTGCCAGTCCGGCTACACCAGGAAAGGAGTTGCTACATTTCTAGAATTCAATGGGGAGTCTATAAACCCGTATATTCCCCATCCACACGACCAGAGTGTCAATCAGAAACCGCGAGGAGGAGTAACAGCGACCCTCCGAGATGGTTCCACTCGAATCATGCCATTACGAAGTCGGTGGGGAGCTAGTTAAATGCAGATTCCCATCCCTTAATTTCTTGGCTACTCCTTGAAGATTGCTGAAATTCACCATTTCTGCAGGATGGTATTGTTCAGTATATATCAGAGGCGGTGGCGTCCTACGAGACAGAAGCACGGCAGAAATAAGAAAGCGCTGGCAGGACTTCATCATTCGGGTTGCAACCCGAATGATAAAGTCCTGTCAGTCCTTTCTTATTTCGACTGAGAACTGTTGTACTGTGATCTTCTCCAGGTGCTCTATGCTTGACGTTCAAGTTGGCTTTGTTGGAGGGGAAGACAAAATAGAACGTATGTCATCGGACTTTAGACGACGATAAAATCGAATCCATCGACATCCCGAGCGTAAATTCTATTCCATGTTGAATTATCTTCCTAACGAAGTGAAAAGAGCTGTCCTGCCTTTCTCAGGCGATATCTAAAGTGTCGCAGCTCTCCACGGATTTCAAGGTCAGACTGTCCATGGACTCCAGTAGCACGCGCTTTGGCTCTGCATGCGTTGCATCGGTCCGTATAGAGTCACAATGGCTTGTCACAAAAAAATCATGAGAAAGGTTGCCATCAAGTCCAACAAGAATTTGAAGGTCGTCACGAATCTCTATTCGCTTTGCTTTTACGAAAGCATTCCTTTAAATTTAAATCCGAGTGCAGAGACTTGGACGCTGGAATAGCTCCAAGCTATTCCAGCGTTCAAGTTCTCACTGGTTGAGTTCTTGGAATCAGTACGAACTGCATGTGACTAACAGCTAAGTTCTCTTCTTCAAAGTGGCCAGCTCCTCGTCTCTTGCAAAAGTATACTGTTTGATGAGACTCCCACACATCATGTCAGAAGAGGACTTCGTGATGAACTACTAGGTTATTCCAAAGATCACCATTCTGTCGCTGGATGGCTTCAACCCAGCAACCAAGGCAAGGCCGCAGCTTCACGTTAACAGGAGACGACAGCGACTCCACAAACTTAGGCATGTCGTCCGTGCGGTCTTAGGCCAAGAGCTGACTTCATTATCAGGTATGCAATACGAGCTCTACATAAACTGTAGTCCAGTACGATCTATTTTGTAGATAATGTCGGAAAATTTCTTTGTGAATTCAAGTAATTCGTAGTACACATACTACAACCTCTGAGTTAGATTGAGAATATTCACATGCGGCTGGAATCTTCTTGAGGCTGAGCAGTGTTAGAGAACGTGCAATGGAAAAATCTCCGAGGGGCGAAAGACTTGTGTAAGCTGTAGAAGCTACAGAGCATTACTTCGAGTTCTTCGTTGCTGGTGGGTAAGATTCTGTCAATCGACAGGTACCGTACGGGCACTGCAGTGCTCGAGGATGCTCAGGGATAAGCTTCAAGCCTATATTCCACAATAATCACACCAGAGTGAAAAAATTGGAGAGAGTGAATAAATGACAGAATTTCCCAGCCACTGTGACGGTTCGTGGAATGGCTACGTCCGAAGTTTGTTGGCATTACGTCTGGGATTAGACACTTCCTTCCACCTGCACTGGTCTCTCGCTTCTGCTGCAAGTGAAAGAAGAGGAAAAAGAAGAAGCTCAATGTCATCATCCGGCATTGCTGAATAGTTGTTTGAGCACCGCCTTGTTGGACAAGCATCTTCCTGGACCCCAGCATGGTATCGCTATTTTCCACCATACATCAGTGCACAGCGTAAGCAGATGGAGACAACAGGCTCAGACTGACAGTAATTAGGCCTGATATCTAGTGATAATTGGACATTGGTCAAATTTCTCTCGCCTCCTCGTCCGGTGCAGACGACTCTGGTCAAATGGAGACAGTAGGCTCACGACTGACTGTAAGTAGGCCTGAAGTTCAGTGAAAATTGAACATTGGTCAAATCTCTCTTGCCTACTCGTCCGGTGCAGACGACTCTGGTCAGATAACATTTGACAGTTTCTGACAATATTGTATGTTAGAAAGATACCTTTGTCCAAGGTGTCGTGTCCGCTTCCCAAGCTATCCAGATCTACAGGATCAAGAGTCAAAACCGTTCAATTTGTTCTGCCAGGAGAATTGGATGTTCCAATTACACAAGTCTTCTTGTTCACAGGAAATGGGCGTCAGGCCCACGTGATTATTTCGAGACTAGCAGTCACGGACTTTCCTGGTTTCTTTATCTCTTTCCACCTATCCAAATCAAACTAGTACAATATGGACTTGCCACCATCTCTTGTAAGAAGAAAGGAAAGGGAATGACTGACAAAATTGTGGCTAGTATTGTTATACCGCTTATGCTGACTGTATGTACTTATCGGGGATCAAGTAATACAGAAAAAAAACATGGAAATGTTCCATCAGGCGACCAAGGGATGCACCAAACTTGTAACATGAGGTTAGATCTCGATAATATGAAAGTGTCATATTGCAGCTGCAAACAAAAGAGCATTCTAAGAAGCATCAAAACCTCTCTTGTCCATATTGCTAGCTAATGTTCTCTATAGATAATGAAATACGTTATCTAATTGATTTGTTGTGTAGACTATACCCTAAAAGAGGGTGGTACACTTGCCTCTTAATGTGGTACGGATATAGCGCACAGACTAAGAAAACAACTGTATTTTGATACAGCAACTATATTTTAAATACTAGAGTAACAATGAGGTCTTTTTTCTCCATAGATCAAACCTCAGTAAAATCGGTGAACGCCTAATCTTCCGAGAACAAGCTAATTTCGGCACGCCACCTGGTATTCAATTCGGCACTGGCCGAATTTTACCAAATGCCAATGTTTTATTACTACAGACGCGTCATTAGTTCGAACTGTTTCGCCTGGAATACCCTCTCTAGTGCCATATAAGTCAAATCCATCCGCCAATTGTCCTTCTCCCACTTCAATATGGAAAAATCCAACTCCACCGACGTTGTGTTGGTAAAAACAGTGGCAAGTCCACAGCCGAACTGTCTCAAAGAACCAAACGAACCATCAGTTACGCAGCCCTGGACGTCATTCCAGCCAACGTTAAACATAGTCTCGTTATCATGTTGGTCAATCTTGGTCTTGACAAGTTCGTTTACAATGTACTCTCGGCACAGTGAGCGGTGATCGCTCTTGATCTCCTCGACCTACTCCGCAGACGGGAACTTTGCTATATGTGCTCGGCGTGGGTCGAGCATCTCGGCAACAAATATACGCTATGGCATCTTGACAAGCTCAGCTGGCATGACCGTAGAAGCAAGTGAAGCGGCAGCCTGGTTCCTGCTATCACTTTCTCCTTGGACATCGCACATACCCTCAAGGATATGGAATATGAATTCACCAATTTCTTGCAGAATTTTCGGCTTGTCGCCCAGACTGAGATTACCGAGTAGGTCGCGGACGAATGATCCCTGATCCTCGATGAAGTTGATCAGGGCATCTGCCGGAAGCCACCAATGCAGAGATCGGACATCATCTGCACCGACCAGGTTGAGGTCATCGGACATCAGCTTGGCGAAGATTAGGGTGCATAGCCGACATACCATCTATTCAATCTCACTATGCTGATGCGAGATTATCATGTCTTTTGCTTGGATCTTCGTAAGTGTCGCGTTCACCACGGCCGTCACTGCCGCAACAGCTGTTGCTTCGATATATCACATCTCGGTAGCGCATCAACGGGCTTTTTTTCCTCAATGTGCGTCAGCAGCGCTTGGCTAGCATCCAATCGAGTGTGTTGCCCATGTGCAGCCAGCGATTGGTCAGCTTCGAACACGCCGATTGATCAGATTCACCTGACTGCGCAAGTGCACAGCCCATCGATTCGTTCCCTTGACGAATTACCCGTTGTCAATCTTGGCAAACGCCGCCTTCATGACGAGATCCATCTGGTGCGCAGGATATCATTCGTCACCTGTTGCTCGAGCAGAGTGATGACTCCACCGCGACAGCCTGTCATGGTGTTCTCGCCATCTGAAGAAAGTCTAATCAGCTTATCGCGCCAGCCGGAATTGATAACGTCCATGACCTTTGTGATTAGATTGACCCGGTTAACAGCGGTGTGCCGGTCGAACATGGGAATGGCTAGCAAATGCAGGTTGACGAGGAGGCCATCCACTGCCAGACGTAGACGTTGATCCATGAATGAAATACCCATGTGAGTGCTCGTGTCGAATGCAAACGAGAAGGCCCACATCGATGGTTTTTTCATCAGATCGCTGAGATGCTGCATGGCGACCGCAACGAAAATACAGACGTAGCCCCTGACCAAAGCATCGGTCACTCCAGTCAATTTTGTGTTCTTGGTGAGCTTTTGGTGTTGTTGAATGACGGTGGCGGTCTGCCTGAACGACAGCCCGGCTGACGTGTGATGAATCACGAGCTGATATCTAAGCGGCGTCTTGATCGTGACGTTGAAGTTGCCGTCCTCTAGATGCCGAAACAGCTTCAACGCTGTTTTGGCCAAGACCGTTTCGTCCTCGGAGTTGAAGAGCAACTCGCCAATCAGAATTTTGACAATCTGCGCACTTATGGTAAATATCAATGTGGAGCTCGCATCGTCGAATAAGTAGAACAACGTGTACTTGAACTCCGGCCGCTTGTTGAAGAACACTCTCTTGTCTTCGAACGAGATTGACTTGTACTCGGTCCACTTGCCCTCGTGGGCCTCTTTGTGATGGACTTGATAGTTTTCTGTTCGGTAAGGTGGTGCAAAGAGTTTGATGTTTTGGGTACGCTTGTGTTTGGCACTAGGAACCTGTCCCGGCCATGGAAACGGCAGATTTGGCACTGTACACTGTCAACAACACCATTTGCATTCCGAGACACCACCTTCAGACCATACTCGACTTCACGTTTTGCTTGAAACGGTGTGCCGCGAGCTTTCGAGTTCGCGAGCACCTTGTTGACTGACACCACCATCCTGGCAAAGTGACATTTGTCCGCGTTCAACTTAGCCAAAGCCCGTTTACACTTTACAACATAAACTCTACACTCACTCATTTTCGCGGTTTTATTTTTGGCGTACTCGGCACCATTAAATTCGGCAGTTTCGGCATTTAAGGGGCTGTTGCCGAATTTAAAGAGGTCTGCCATAGATGCTCCACTCTTGTTTGATAAAGAATGTATAATCATACATATTGTTGCTAACGACAACCACCCCAGATCTAGACTTGTTTGTTTGAAACAAGTATATATCAATTCTATTCCTAGTACATTGCAAGTTAATTGACACCACTGCATATATAGACTTGATACTTTTGAAACGATTGTATATCAATGCTACGCCTTGTACAGTGCAAAGACATCCAAGTTTCAGCATATCCGCTGTATACTCTCATGCACCGCATGAGTATCTTTTCAGGTACCCTGAATGTACAAAGTATGAAAACTTAATCTAAACTGATATTACACATGCGAGATTATAAAAAAGATACATGGATGGGAGACCCAAGATAAAGTAAGTTCCTTAGGGAAGAAGCAATTAGTGTTATGAAGAAAAAAGCTATACACGAGATACTTCATGTAATTAGCTCTTCTAAGTTACTGTCAGGTTTTTTATATTTTCATCGGTACTGATGCCACATGCTTTATGGAATTATGATTTTGAATCATTTCAGAACAAGAATTATTCCAACTTAAGATATTGCAATTGAGGTATTATTTTAAGCTTGAATTCATTTTTCAATTTTAGAAACATCTAGTATGAGTTTGCTCGTATACTTTGCTAAATATGAAAAATGCTATACACAACCAAAGTCGTAGTGTAACTATTTGATGCAAAAAGTTAATGACCAATGTGCGTAAATACATGTACATTAATTTTGTAGCAAAATGATGAATATCTTATTCACTTCAAACGAGAAAAAAAATTGGAACTTGAATAATTATTCTTGTTATGGATCTTAAAATAATACTAATATATAATTCCAGTTTTGAACGTTTATGCAAATATTGTGTTGAGATGTAAATCAGACAGCATACTGTTTGTGTTATTATCAAACTCAAATATGTATTAACACTAATTAATTTAACTATGATTAGTTAGAATATGATATCAATTGATATGTAAAAGAATTAACATAACCTCTATGTGACAAAAACTAAGATTTTTTAAATCATCAACTGGTACTTATTTGTGAAAGTAGCATCACTAAGTTGAATTGCGTATTAATTATATCGATAATTTTGAAATTTTGAAATATTCATTCAATTTGCACAATTTTTCATTCTGTAAATGATTTGGACACCAAATTAAGTATTTTACAAGTTAAGTATGACAAACTCCAGAGATTTTGAAATCTTTTGCAATACATTAAAAAATCCTTAGCGGTATATTATTCAGTTAATTCAGTTAATAATTCAGAAAAAATTCCAATTAATTCATGATCAACTAGTGTACATTTTTTTATATTTTATGGTCTGCATTAAATTTTATTCAACTACAGCTAAAATGTTAATGTAATTGTCAAATCTAAGCAAGTTGCACTGGAATATTATAAATTAATTTTGAATTATCTTAAAAATGCCAAAGTTTGTTTATTTTTATTTGATAATTCATTTCATAATGCCAAATTTTTCTAAAACAATTGATGATAATTATGGAAAAAAACTGCATAAATTAATATATTCTTAAAAAATTCATAAGTCTGCATATATTTATATTTGACACTGAATGCACTATTTGCTTCACTAAAATTCAAAATTTATTTGAATACTGAAATCAGCTATGAAGTTTAATTAGGTCTAACAGGCTTGTCACGGGAAGAAATTAACATTGTGCATTACATCTATCTATGAAGTGGAGCTCGAGTCACTCTAATAATAGTATTACAGTGAATCAAATTGACATTATTTCTACATATTGTTGAGGTTAACTCTGGTTAAGGAGTTAATCTCAGTTAAAAGTTAACTGAGGTTAGTTAACCAAGGTTAACCGCATATGTAGCTATTTATAGCTTAGAGTGGTTGACTATCTTGGGTATATATACCCTGAGAATGATACGAAGACTTCACTTGAAGCAGTAAACTTTCCCGAGCATATTCCTCTGTGGACGTAGCCCCTGAGGGTGAACCACGTTATACTTGTGTCTCTGTATTCATTGTGTTATTGGTTTGCTAGTCTAAGAGATTTAGCGTAACAATTGGTATCAGAGCCAATTCCGGTTTGGACTCTGTATCATAAGAAGTTTTATGAGACCAAATGTAGTGACAGTTTTTCCAGCGGTTCAATGTCTTTGGAGTTGTGAGTTTTTTCTTTCTGTTTTTTGAGTTTTTTGGTGTTTGGCACTTATAGAGTTCTCTCAAAATCTGACAGGTATTTTTCAGTGACAGTATTTTCTGTCAAAATCTGACGTATATTTTCAATGACAGTTTTACAGTCAAAATCTGACGGGTTTTTCCAGTGCCAAGGTCAACTTAGTTCATCTCAAGTTCAAGAACAGTTCGGGTATTGAAGTTTTTGACAAAAAACTATTAGTGCACTTGTTTTGTTGTTTTTCTTTTCTCTTTTCCTTTCAAAAACTATCCACAAAGTTTTCAGTAGAACTTTGAGTTTATATCTTGAAGTTTAATAGAAACTGTCAGAAAATTTTTCAGTAGAGGTTCGAGAGCAGGTTTCAGTGAAATCGTTTGAGAGTGTTTTTGAAACTTACAGTGGTTTGGAGTTTCAACTTCAACTTTGAGTTGCCTCGAAGATCTTGTGCAGGTTTTGTTGATTTCCAGCTCGTCTTGTTTGATATTATCTCTATAATCTCCGAAAGTGAAAGTTGAGAGGCATAATCTACAAAGAGAGAGCGTTGGGAGAAAGGTAGTGGTGAAGTCCTACCCGGCACGGCTGCCCGCAGTGTGGCAGCCCCGAGCAGCGGCGTGGGTGGTGGCTGGAGTGTCCGAGCAGCGAGGCCCTCCGAACGGAAGATAGGGGGCCGAGCAGGCAGCCATCCCCCTCTCTCTTTAGTTCCCCGCGGCGCGTGAGCCGAGTGGCAGGGCAGGACGGCAACGCAGCGGTCCCAGCCCAGATCGACAGGGCTCGAGCGAGGGCTGAGAGCCAAGTGGCTAGGGCAGGGAGGGAGCTCACGGAGGAGACACCCCGAGGGAGGTAGCTAGCCGCACCGGAGGGTAGGAGCGAAGACAGGAATGCCGCAAAGGCGGAGCGCGCGTTAGGACAAAGGAGGAGGTGCGGAGCGAGCCATCCCCCTCTCCCACGCGAAGGTAGGGTAGTTTGCAGCGTAGTCGTCAACGTGGGTAGTGCCGAACGTGATCAGTCATAGTTCCAGTTGTGGTTGGACCAATCGTGGTTATAGTCGACGTGATCGGATTGAACGTGGTTGCGGTCGTGGTCGGAGTTCCAGTGTGGTCGGCGGGTGAACGCAGTCAACGGTCGATCAACGGTAACGGTGACGGCGAAAATCCAACGGTGACGGTCGGACCGACGGCACATGAATATTCCTTCATAAATATTTCTCAAAAATATTTTTTTCATCCGAAACTAGTCAAATTGGGTATTGTTGGAAAGCTCTCGACACGACTAAAGCATTTGGACACTTTTCAGGCACTGAACGATGACCCAAAAGGAGGAAATTGACTCTAAATCTGCCATTGTCTCTCATTTTCGACGTGCAGTGTCAGTAGGCCGACAGGTCGGTGGCAATTTTGGATATAACATCATACCTTTCGATGGACACGGTAATTATTTACTTTGGGAAAAGCAAGTAAAAGTCAAATTACGATCCATAGGTCTCACTATATGCCTGGGAGAAAAACCTTCTAGCATAAACGACATTGAATGGGTTGCTGCTCAGGACCAGGCAATTTGCACAATGCTGGCATATCTAGACCCTACTATACTCAAGCAGGTTGAGGAGTACTCTGAGGTTTAGAAGTTGCTTTATACGCTTCAGCAACGATTTCATCAAAAGAATCCAACGATTGTGATGAACACTTACATGCGATTGTTACGGTTTACTATGTAGCCAGGCACGCGCAT